CAGGTAGCATATAAGAACTATCTCTAAATAACAGATATCAATTTATAGTTTTTATTAATTTTATACCACTTTTTACTACTATAGTTTACTGTTTTTTTGTAAAAAAAGTTTGTTGTATTTTTTGGTATAAGGGATCATTAAAAAGAGTTGTATTAAAAGTGACTATAATAAGATTAAACTATATATATTTTTATATTAAAGTGCTTTTTTTGGCTATATATTTTTATTAAAAATTTGATTTTAAAAATTACAACTACTGTAGCTATATAGTATACATATTTTTGATGTCTAATTTAAATAAATTGCCTAAAGATTTTATACTAACTACTATATCTACAATCTACTATATATATATCTATAGTTAGATCTGAATATAATCACCAGGTTGGAAAACAGAATTTTAGTAATTATAAAAGGTTGTAACTAAATAAAGATCAAAATTCATATGTTTTATAATAGCTAAACCAAAAAAATAATGTGATTATAACAAGGGTTGTAATTATATTAAAAGTATACAGTATATATATATATATTTTTATTTTCAATTACACAATTACTTGCTAATTTTTTAAAATATATACTGTATATGCTGTAACAATTGTAAAATTAAACAAATAGTTTTTGTTAATTTTTTAATAATCTTTTATTGTTTATATATTATACAGTATATATATACCTAAAATAAAAAATAAAATTTTTACATTTATATATATATTATATAAGTAATAAATCTATAAAAATATTTGAGAATGTGGTTAGACATTTGTCTAATATTGTTTTATATTTATTATTTAAATATCTATTTATTATGCCATAAGAAGTTCTTAATTGTAGACCAATGATCGGAATCTAAGTATAAATACTGCATTGACGATTGTAAAGATGGTTGTAACACATCACGATCGTGACGAAAGAGCCACATAACAACACCCCACACTATAGCTGCAAATACTGGGAAGGTGTGTTTTGGTTCACCTACCACTTGGCGTTTTACCTGTAATTTAGCCAACCCAAACATGATTCTTGAAAAGACATAAAGCACAATCTGCTCCAAGTTAGTATGTGAAAAAGAAAGTAAATATATGTCTCATGTATATATGTGTAGAAACAATTGCATTGAGGATTAAAAAGAAAGTCTTACCTGTTGATTAACCCTATTATTATCGCCGAAAACAATATATCCACCAATTAAACCGGCTATAAAAGAATGGCCGTTTTGTTCCATGCCACCATTAATTTTTTTTTGCAAATACATCAAAGTCTTATATATTGTAACAAAAAATGCGAGATTTTTTGAATGCTGAATTGTTGCATCGAGTATAATTGTCATTTTATCCTTCAAGCTATTTATTGACGAATTTAGATTATTAACGAAATATCATATTGATAACTACTTTTTCAACTAATAAATCAGTGAATGAACAGACCTTCCCGAACCAAATAAAAAGGTCATAACTAAAGCGTGGGGGAATCTGATCTTCGCGCCGTAGACTGCTCCATTACGGAAACCTTTGATGATGGCAAGAACATCTCGATGTTCCGGCTTGTTAATGAACTGTGTGATGGAGTCCATGCAGTAATAAGGAGAAAGATGCGGGCATCGCGCGTTACCCACTGAGTTCTACAATCCACGTGCGGGGACGTCGGAAATTATGGGGTTATCACTGTATCAGTTAATCTAATTGATTGTCAAACTGAAATTTTGGTCGTCTAAAGCCAGGTAGTTTTTTAAATTGATTACTAACAAATTTGTAAATTAAAAATCACGTGATGCGTATAAATTACTATATACCTGATCCCAAATTTTGGGCAATAATATGTGATGCGGCCCGAATTATGAAATTTAATTTCTTAATGCCGGCCAAATACATGAGACACAAAATGAAATCTTGCCAGAAAAATTATACCTAATACTTATAAAATTGGCGCTCTAATTTATTACAGTACGTATTACGTATAGAGAGAATAAAATTGGCACCTTAATATCAAATACTTTGTAAATTTGATACCAATTTTTTTTTCATATATATATATATACCGTAGTGCACTGACCAAAAGACCCGGGGTCTAATACAAAATACCCAACAAAAAACTTGCAAAAGACCCGGGTAT